TTTAAGAAGAGACTGGACAGCCATTTGTCCGAAATGGGATAGGGTTTCCTGCCTGAGCAGGGGGTTGGACTAGATGACCTCCAAGGTCCCTTCCAACTTTATTATTATTATTATTATTATTATTATTATTATTATTATTATTATTATTATTATTATTATTATTATTATTATTATTATTATTATTATTATTATTATTATTATTATTATTATTATTATTTAATGTATGCTTTTAAGAATTGTACGTGGGGGTTATTCTCCTGCATGAGTGAGGTCCACCAGCCTTTGCAAACACTTTGCTCCAGTAAAATTAGTTCCTGGAATCCCAAATGAGTTCGTTTGTCTTGGGAGTCCTGGAGCCACCTTCCAGACATAATATAACGTCGGCAAGAAAACAACGGAGGTCCGCGAGCACCAAAGACTTGTTTATTTCAACCCTGAATTACAAATATTCTCCTATTTAGCCCACATCTACCAGAAAATGTTGATGCCGTGCTGAAAACCCATAAGGCTGCTTCCTTTACCAACTCAGATGCCCTTTACGTATCACCGCAGCAGTGGATCTTTTAAGAAGGTGTTACACACACTGTTCTTCTTTCCTGACTTCCTGACTTCCTTCCTTCCGCTTTCTTTTCTGAAGATCCACCGGATTCTCATCGGGCACGACAACGTGGGCCTCCAAGCAGGCTGGCACCTTGGCAGCGTTCAGATTATTATCCCCGTCCACGGCAAGATGTACAACTTCCCCTGCAACCGATGGCTTGACAAAAACGAAGCTGACGGGAAGGTACAGATTGAGGTTTACCCCAGCGAAATCATGGAGATTGAGAAATGTAAGGGATGGTGTGTTTGTTTATTGTCTGTCTGTCTGTCTGTCTGTCTGTCTACCTATCATCTATCTATCTGCCTGTTTATCTGTCTCTATCTCTATTTCTATCAACCATTTGCTATCTATTTCTTTCTTTATCTATCTATCTATCTATCTATCTATCTATCTATCTATCTATCTATCTATCTATCTATCTATCTATCTATCTATCTATCTATCTATCTATCTATCTATCTATCTATCTATCTATCTTGTCTGTCCGTCCGTCCGTCCGTCCATCCATCCATCCATCCATCCATCCATCCATCCATCTATCCATATCTATCTATCTATCTATCTATCTATCTATCTATCTATCTATCTACCTACCTACCTACCTACCTACCTACCTACCTATCATCTATCTATCTGTCTGCCTGTCTATCTGTCTCTCTCTATTTCTATCAACCATTTCTTTCTTTTCTATCTATCTATCTATCTATCTATCTATCTATCTATCTATCTATCTATCTATCTATCTATCTATCTATCTATCTATCTATCTATCTATCTATCTATCTATCTATCTATCTATCTATCTTCCTATATCTGCAGTATCTCTATCTTTCTACAGTGTTTATATCTATCTGTATCTATGTATCTATATATCTATGTATCCATCCATCCATCCATTTTAATGTTTTAAAAAAGAATAAAAAGAAAAAGAAAAGAAAAAAAGTCCCATCCAAATATTACTTAATTTTCTCAAGGTCATGTAGGATAGCTAGTTAACGGGGTTGGACTAGAAGACCTCCAAGATCCCTTCCAACTACTACTACTACTACTACTACTACTACTACTTCTTCTTCTTCTTCTTCTTCTTCTTCTTCTTCTTCTTCTTCTTCTTCTTCTTCTTCTTCTTCTTCTTCTTCTTCTTCTTCTTCTTCTTCTTCTTCTTCTTCTTCTTCTTCTTCTTCTTCTTCTTCTTCTTCTTCTTCTCCTCCTCCTCCTCCTCCTCCTCCTATTATTGTTGTTGTTATTGTTATTATAGTATACAAATAGGAAGTGAAGGAAATGAAAGGCTAAGGAGAAATTGGCTGCCATCTGAGAGGAATTAATCCCTGTCAGGTGGATGTTTGAAAAAAAACAAAACAAAGTCTTCGGTGCTCATTCCTCCAAAAGATAAATGATGCCTGAATCATTATAAGATGCAATTAAATATTATTCTGTATCACTGGGTTTCAGGTATTTATTTATTTATTTATTTTTTAAAAAACAACTCTCCAAAGAAATTTTCTAGTTATACAGATTTTTTCCCCCTTACACATGCAGTTTTATATACAAAAAAATAACCTCATGCTTGTATGCACCTGTCCTAAATTATCTTTTTCTTGGAATGTATCCTTTTTTCATGTGACCTCACACATTTCATCTATATTTATTGAGATGGTTAATTAATATGGCCACCCAGCTCTGTGTCTGTATCTGTAAAAACCCAAAAAACAGAAAGCGGGAAACAAAACACCGCGATGCAGAATAAGCATCTTCCATTCAAAGTCATTTCAGGTCAGGCTCAGCTAACATCTGGCCAAGCGCGTGAGGGAAACATCTGGATGTCCAGGCCTTGTGGAAGGCTAATAGGACCAGAGCTTTCTCCATCTTGGTTGAACGCTGCACTTAAGGGCAGGTCCTCCTTTCATTTTATTTCGTAGGGCAGAGCAAAATGCAGCACGATGCTTAAAATCCACAGGAACAGCCTAAAAAGTGCGTATCCAAATTTTAAAGAAACCAAAGCAGTGAATTTACAGTATTTATTTATTTATTTGTTGTTATATAAATTTTATTAGTTTTTATAGGGTTAGGAGAGATAAGGTGGTGTCGGGATAAAGGTTAGGGTTAGGGTTAGGGTTGGGTTTTTTCCAAATAACATTTTCAATATTTAGCAAACAGCATAATGTCTAGGTACATGTATTTAACTAACAATAATAGATATAGTTAATTGTCATAAGCAATATGTTAATTCATCACTCAATAGCCTTCTTCTTGATAATATATATTCAAAATTACATATCACGTTCCTTTCTCTCTGACTCTCCCTCTCCCTCTCTACCTCCCTCCCCCTCTTCTTCTCCCTCTCTCTCCTTTCTTCCTCCCTCTCCCTTTCCCTTTCCCTCTCCCTCTCTCTTCCTCCCTCCCTTTCCCTCTCCCTCTCCCTCTCCCTCTTTCTCCCTCCCTCCCT